GAGTAACTTGAGAACTATTGCCTATTTAGGTATGCCTGCATCATCATATGAATATGTATGTTTATAGGTTCTTTTTTCCTTCCCCCTTCTTGTAGAACTGTATAAATATCAGAACATCCATTTTGCCTGTAGGGGAGTGCTAACTTCTGATGGGTTCCCCCTCCAGTACGTACTGCTCAATAAACACTGCAGTGAAGCCTTGATTATTCTGCATTTCTGTCCTGCGTTTTGATCCCACAGTATGATTAAAACAACAGTAATAAACTAATCTATAAAATTAATGACCTATAGCCTAACAATAAAAATTACACAAAGTAAAAGTAAAAGATGGTGCAGTTGGTAAGCTTCACTGAACACTCTCTGGAAAATACTTTTTTTGGCAACCTTAAAGCCATCAGGGAGGGGACTAGCCTGATTTGCACAGGGGGGCTGTTCTGTAGCACCAGCACTACCACTGAGAAGCAGCACTTTCCAGATTCAACTCCCTCATTTCCTAGAAGAGGGATCACAAGGAATTTCTCTCTCAATAATCTAGTAAGTCAGGTTGGTAGAGGTTGGAGAAGTGTTTCTATAGGTTGGAGAAGGTATTCTTCTACCTGATCAAATAACATGTATCTTTTAAAAAAGTTTGTTTTAAACACATTTATTACAGAGTGATAGGTCATAATATATATAGAAGAATCAGTTCCAAAATAGTATATTCATTTGAAGCTTTTCCTAAATTACAAAAAAATGGTTTTATAGAAATAGCTATAGATAAAGGAATAAGACAGCATAGGCACACTGTGCTGTGAAGCAACCTAAAACTATTTAGAACACAAATACATTGTGATTACAAGTGAAAATATCCTTTTGCTTTTGCCTTATTTCCTTAATGAGTAGTCTAAAAGTACAAAATATAGGAAAGCAGCATAATGTCCATACCAGTTATTTTTTGAAAACGGTAACATTAAGTACAAGTTACATAGGATATAAACAAAAACAAAACAGAAAAAAACCAATAAAATAGTATATTCTGAAACATTACCAAGCATAAAAGAGGCAGGTAGATTTGTTCCATTCTCAGGAAATGTCAAAAATTATAGTTATAAATAGTTATTGATGGATGTTGCCATTTTAAAGTTGGCCAGGATGAACCATGAGCCATAGTTTAATTGCACCAATGAAGCAACTATAATTTCTACATCTGTTTCATCTTAATTCAGTAGTTTGGAGAACAGGCTTGCTGAGAACAATAAAAGCCTTCATAGACATTATTTCTATTTTGGTTGGGAATAAGTGATAAATGTCCATTTAAGTTTAAACCATCAAATAAGATGTAACAGTATAATTGGAATAAATACCTGAGGTTACACTTTAAAAAATAGTTTAAAAAATGATAATGTGTTGTTTTTGTGGATGATAGCAGTCAGAGTCTTAATCATAAGATGCTCAGTGTGCTGCAAATAGAAAAGTTTATCAAAGTGCTGAGATAATTGTATTTTGTCCTTTTTATTCCAGGGTAAATGGAAAGTTAGTGGCACTGAAAGTGATAAGACTTCAAGAAGAAGAAGGTACTCCATTTACAGCTATCAGAGAAGGTATGCTTTTTTATAGCTCTCAATTTTCTCTTCCCTCTTTTTGTAATTACAGCAGACATCTTCTTTTCAACTTCTTGTTGATTCTGAAGAACCTTTATGTTTCTCAGATTATATGGTTATAGTCCTTGGAGGTGGAGGATTGCTACTTAAAAATCAAAATCATTCTAATGTGTGGGAGTTATTATGAAATAAAACAAATCTGTTCTCTGTGGCTGGCTTATATAGGAACTGTATCAGGTGTACATGGCAGCATGTATGCACTTGTGGAGATGTAGAAATGCCAGTGGGAGTTCATGTTAAGAGTATTCTGTTCAAGGAACTGCTGTTGTGAAGTAGAATCCAAATCCAGGATAATTTTAATTTGGCAGTGTTCCAAGAATGATAGCTCATCCATTAATTAAAGTCACTGAAAAAAGTATACTAAGGAGAGCATTTTAAGAGGTAATGTGAAATAATAAGTTACTTGATTTTTTTAAAAAAATAAACAATGTGATCAGCATGATCCAGAGTTATTAATTGAAGTTATCAGACATAAGGGGAGAAATGTAGATTGCATTAAAAGAGTAGCTAAACTCTGAAGTAGTGCATGAGGGTAGGGGCTAAGAAGGAGTGCTCAGCTCCAACTAAGATTAATTAGCCATTTAATGCTGGAATTCTAGCTATGAGTTTTGTGAGCTGATGTCCAGTACATGGAAGGGCACCAAACTGGGGGAAAGCTGGGCTAATATTATTATCAATATTATATATTGATCTTATTTATTTCTTAAATGATGCCATGTTTCCAAAAAAGGAATTCAAAATGGCATAGCTGTGCTTTTCAAGGCAAGGATTTTTCACTCTCTCTGAAGTACATGACCCTGTCTTTGAAATGTAGTTGTCATAAAACTGTGGTTTCCAAAAGAAAGTTAATTCATTACGCTCAATTCATTATAGTTGAGGATTCATTGTAAATGTAATGCAATTTTATTATATAAAAATTAAATGTCTTCAGAAATCACTTTAATATTACATGCATTATGTGACTAGCAATCCAGTGCTAAAATTCTATTTCTCTATATTGAGGTAACCAGAATATAAAATAACCCTAGTTATGATTACAATATTGAAAGTGTCAATTATCAACAATCAGCTACCATCAATATAAAGTATGCTATTTGAACAATTGCTATAATTCCTTCTGTAGTCTTGTGTCTACTTGGAACTGTTCCAAATTTATAGTGCTTTTAATTATTAAAATGAATACATTGGTTTGTTTATTAGACTTATATGATGATGCAGTTCACAAGAGTGACACTGAATGACTTATATTTTAAAGAAACATGAAAACAAGGAATTGAAAATAAAATATAGACTACCACACAATATAATATAATCAATACAGGACAATACAGTACAGTACAATACAATATACCCTCAGAAAATAAAAATAACAGGATAACAATAATGGAAATAACAACAGGGGTAACAATAATAACAGAAGCAATCATGGCCCACTAACACATACTTCATTCAAAGTTTTACATTCTGTACAGGCTCATACCAGTCTGTCTCAATGCTCAGGGAAGATCCAGGTTTTTAGGGCCTTGTGGAAGAACAGAAAGGTGGGTGCTGTCTGTTGCTTTCTAATGGATTCATAATCAAATCAGATTATTGCTGTATTCTGCCACGCTGGAAAGAGTAAAAATTTGAGTATGCAAGAGGTATTCTAATCTTAAGCTGTATTTTCTATGCAAGCTGTATCTTTGATTTCCATGTGTTGTTCTGCAGTATGCATATGTAATTGGGAGCATACGTTGCACTGGAGTACCATTAATGCCATGTGTCCTATACTGTTGCACAAGTCTCGTTTAAATAGAAATTCAGTCACTTATCATATAAAATTAAAGCATGGCACTATAGGGAAAAAAGTCTTCTACATGTTTATTTAGAAGTAAGATATATTGAGTTAAAAATGACTTGATTAAGTGAATATAGTTTGCACCCTCAAATTGTTTCCAGAAAAAAAAAATTTCAATGTAGGAGTTCAGAAGTCCAGTCTTTTCAAAGCTTCTTCATAAGAAATGCTTCATAGTAATAGCTTTTATGTAGTTTTGCAAATTTTCTATATAAAATTCAGACAGCAAATACATTTTATAGTCTAAAGTTATAATTCAAGGATTTTTTCATGTCTGGCAAGACTAGGCTTTCACTAAAGTAATTCACTAATTTCACTAAATTAAAAATTAACCAGTTGAATTTTCACTGCTAGAATGACATGCTGGATATTCTAAATACATTTTTCTTTAGATTTCATTTTGTTTAGATTTCATTTATTGAAATTAAGAATAGATGAAAGATTTATTGTAAACTGCTTCTTTTCTTTTCACCGAAAGTTTATTATTCTTGCAGGTATCAGTTTTAAAAATTACAAACATAACAATTAAAGGGATAATTATGGTTGTGAGGAAAAAAGGGATTTCTTATGTACTTGTAGAAAACAGTTGCTTATTCTCTGGCACTCAGGATGCACCTCTACAAAGAGCACATTGCAATAAACTAAACAGGGATTATTACTGAACTTTGGGATTGAGTGTGCAGACTCTGACAATATGTCTCTCACTAGACAGATAGGACATCTTCAGGAATGATGCAGTTAACTCAGTAGTCTTAGCTATGCAAGCACATTCCTTGCCTTTCAGATTCAGGACTGAATTCAGTACACCCAAATGATGAACCTATATTTTCAGGATGATTGCAACTGTGAGAGTGAATTCTCACTCTGATAAAGAGAGGTAACTGTTATGTAAATACTACCAGGTATAAGTCCTGATCTCCTATATGCTCTGTCCACAAAAAATATGAAAGAGAGACATTTATTACTTTGTGTGTATATACATATACATATACATTTGAAAACAAAGATAATGGTTGGAATTCTTGTGCTGTAACCTTAACTTTTTTTTCTTAATACATTTAACTAATCCGAGCTCAAAGAAGGGTTGGTTGTTGCCAGTTCAGTTTGGTGTCATAGGGTACCAAATCCATCTCTCTAGAGGTTGAATTCCTGTCCCCTGATTTGTCTTTCATCTGACCAGGTGCATCTTGTCCTGGTGACTGAGCATAATTTTTTTCTCATACAATCATTTATGTTATATATAATATTTAAAAGCAAACACTTTTTAGATGTTAAGCAATGTCCTTAGAGTTCAATAAAGGAAAGAGAGAGAGTTGGTGTCATATTGGTGGTACAGAACTATTTTTTTTCCCCCTCGGTAGTTCCTTATATATATTAACTGGAATGGGGGAAAAGAAGGAATCTTGACAGACATCCTGGCCAATAAAACTGTGTCTCTTGGGCAGAAGAATGCCACATCCATGGTATTAAGGGTACTAAAAAGTCCAGAACAACCAGCAGAGAAATCCTTCCTCCGTTCAGTTTTTAAAATAGATAATCAAGATAGGTGACCATTCTCCATCAAAGCTCAGCTTTGAGATTACATCATAAGCAAGCAGATTCTAGTCCTTCACTTCACATGCGAAGAAAACATTTACAGAAATTGAATTGTGATTCCATTATAAAGAGGGCTTGCACTTGATACACAGCAGTTGCTGGGATTCTGTCATATTGGCTTCATTAACTTTGCTTTGGTAAATCTATTTCTTGGGCTTGCCTAATTTTCACTTTTTCTTGCTTCATCTCAATCCATCATATTTTTCTTCTCTTTTGATATTCCTTATGGAAGGAGGAAAGGGATGTGTGTGTCTCTGTTTCTGTGTGAGAGAGAGGCTTGTGTTACATAAAGATTGATATATGTCTATCTGGGGGATTTATTAATTTATAAATCAGGCGTCTTATATTAAAGGCAATTCATTTTCAACTCTATGTTTGTATACATTTGCAACATGCACACGTTTATTGCTGGGAGAGGAATTTCTAGGATCAGTTTCAGCTGAGTTGGCAACTCTAGATTGACATTGGTGGGGAAGCTGGACATGCACTGCATTTTTTTGTATGTATAGGTATAAATGTATTTTGTCTTCCTTCTTGTGTGGAAGGAGATTGTCATAAAATCAGAATTCGCTTCCTTTCAGGTAAATATGGTGTAAATAAAAACAGGAAGAAAAATTCAACAGCATTTAAAAAACATACATCTATTTTAAACTTAATAGATTTTCATTTTTTGATTGTATGGATCTCCCGGCAGGAGGCCTTCATTCAGTGTTTTACTGATTAAAAGAGCTCTATGTTAGGTTAAGTAAGATAACATCAAGAAATCCTGATAGTGCAAATATTAAATGGATCTGAGGTTGCTGTATATCTGTATCTTACAGAAATTGCATGACTTCTGAAAGTTTCAGAAGATCTGCCGACATAAATAAAGGGTTACATGAGGGACTGTCTTACCTCCATTATATCAACCTGTCCCACTCAATCAAGTAGAGAGAGTATGCTACGGACCCTGTTGATGAAAGAATGTCAACTGTTGGGGCCCAGAAAGAGAGCCTTCTCTGCCATTGCCCCCACCCTATGGAATACCTTCCCCCCAGAGGTGAGGCAGGCTCCTGCCCTACTCTCTCGACCTTCCAGAAAGGGATGAAGATCTGGGTCTGCCAACTTGCGTGGGGCGAGAAGAGGGGCAACCGAACCTGGGGTTGGCTAGTACCACGAAGATGGTCCTGTAGGTAATAACCTTATCTACCATCAGTTCCTTGGAAGATATTATTATTTATGTACGAATATGGTTTTTATTGTATTTTAATTAATATTCTTGTTTTTAATGTAAACCGTCCAGAGTTGCTCCTTAGTGAGATGGGCAGTGACCAAATTTTAAATAAATAAATAAATAAATGCAACTGACAATGAAGGAGGAGTATTTAAATATGCTGAAACAAATCCATCCATAGAACTTTCTTTTTTGGCTTGAACTATATTGCCATGTTATATAGAAAATTCTATATATTTTAAATATATTATTTAAAGGTTTATATAGCTATAATTTAATTGAAAAC